TTGCTTTTTATTTATTTTTTTAAATAATTAAAATATTTTTCTAAAAATTTATATAATATTAGTTTTAATTATATATTGTCTATTGATAATATTTATTTTTTATTTATTTAATAAAAATTTAGAGTTTAATTATAAGCAAAAATTTTAATAAAAGTTGATTTTAGACAAACTTAAAAAATCGTTAAATTAAAGTTTATATAATTATAATCAGTTTTGTAGAATTATTTGTAAAGAATAACTTTAATTATTACAATTTTAATAGTTTAATTATAAAATTTTAAATATGCAGGCAAATTTGCCTGCATTACAATTTAAGGGATAGAGTTTGTTATATTAAAAAGGTTTGTGAACTTATTATAAATTCGGATTATAAGTTTTTCCTTATATAATCTTTTTTATTTTAACTTGTTTTTAGTTTATAATTGTCAATAAGATTTAGAATTCTATTTTTATATAAGCTTAATTAAATTTGAATAAAGGTTAGATATTTGATTACAATATCTATTGCTATAAAAAATTTTTAGATTGATAATATAATTTAAATTAAATATAATTTTTTAATTGTTTATTATATATTATTTAATAATTTTATTATAATACAGTTTTAAAAAATATTTAAATTCAATTAATTATATATATATAGAGATAAAATTATTAATTAATTAATTTGTTTTAATATTAAGTATAACTTTTCTTATAGTTTTTATTAATTAAACAAAAATATATTATATAAATAATATTTAAAATCTGAGATATATTGTTATATGTATTAATTTATTATTATATAGATATGTTTTGTTTTTTATAAAAAGAAAAATAAAATAAAACTATTTATTTTTTAAAAGCTAATATCTCTTTAATAATTTGTTTTATTATAAAAGATCATTAATAAATTTTCAAAAAATATTTTAATAATAATAATATTATTATTATTTGATTTAAATTAATATATATTTAATACTATTAAATTATATTTGTTTTAAAAATTTCTATATATAATAACTAAATTGATATTCAAATTTTTAATTGTAAAAAATATGTATAAACTTTTGAAAAGAATTATTTTTTTAAAATAAATCTATTTTTTAGTTAAAATAATACATTGTAATCTTTTTTAAAAGTTTTTTAAAATATATAAGAAAAAAATTTTTACAAAATTTTTTTTTCTTAATTTTTTTTTTTAGTTTGCAACAAATGATTTATTTAAATAAAATGTGATTTTTTGTTTTTTAAAGAATTGATAATATAATATAATATAAAAAAAAATTAAAAATTTTTTATTTTTTATTAACAAAAAACAAAAACTTTAAAAAATAAAATACTCTTGTTTGTAATGATCTATTGTATATAAAGTCTTTAAAAATATTTTTTATGATTTTTCTTTTTTTGATTTTAGATTATTATGTGCAAAAATAAATTTTTATATTTTTAAGCAAAAATACAATATTTTTTTCAAATGGTTTAACCACTTATTTGAACCTCTTATGATATCAGCATATTTTAGACTCAACCTGTTGGGGGCTCGGTATGATTTACTTCATAAAAAAATGTACTAAAAAGGAAAGAAAAAAATTTTAAAAAAATAAAATTTCTAATAAAATAAGGATAGAAAAAAAAGTTTTTTAATGTTCTGAATTTACACATACTAAAACTTGAATTTTAATATTATATGTAATAAAACTTAATCATTTTAAACTTATACAGCAAAAATTTTAGAATATATTTTAATAAGTACAACTGTATATAACTATGCACAAAATTAATTTAAATTTATTATTGTTTGAAGTATACGTATCGATTAAATCACGAGATTTTGTATTGTTACATCTATTGGTCAAGCCGATTTCGCCCTAAAGTAGATCATACCACCTTGTCATGGAGTTATAATGCCGTTAACGCTGTAAATTGCTTTTCTATCCAATAATTAAAAACGATAGATTCCGGAAAAAAGTCACCATATAATTTTTTGTTGATTTATATTTCGTTAAACAAATAAAGTCAAACATGCCATTCTATACGAATTTCTTAAACAATTTTAAATATAAAAACTCAAATATGCAACAATCTTTCTCTAAAATATTTATTCCTGCCTACATTACAAGATGAAAGTAATTACAATCCCCGTTGTCGAAGAACCATTTTCCTTCTCGAAATTCAATTACTTCAACCCTAAAAGTCTTTTTGATGCCGATTGGTGCCTTGATCTCCATGGATTTCTCACTCGCGACGAATTTGACGCCAAGCTTAAGGAAATTAACTTTGCTATTCGCAATGTTCCACTATTGAGCAAGAGAATCAAGACCTACAGTGACTGGAGCTACGGTTTAACAACTGTTTTGATGAGTGCAATTATCATCGGAACATATTCAACAAGATCTTATTCTGGATCTATAGGTAGCTTCGTGTTCGAAATTTTTATGAGTATTGGATACATTGTAATCAAAATTATAGTTAGTGAGGTGAGAGAGCGTCGCGCAAAGCAATTCACAGTAGTCTTAAATCAATTGTTTGAACAGTACAACGCTCAAGATAACCCAACTGCAAATTGGAAACTAGCATGGCGCTCGGTTATTACTCATTATGATATAAAGATGAAGGCAACATCTGAAGGAGACATTAATGGAAAAGCTACTCCTAAGTATGCATCACAAGCCGAGATAGTGCTTGAAATTAGTGATGCCCTTTCGAGCCTTATGTCTAAAACTGTTCATTTCAAATTGCCACCCCAAATCACTCGTGAAATGACTATAGATACTCTTTAGCAAAGTGTATAACTACATTTAGCTTTCCATTTAAAAATTCGCCTCTTAATAATAACCGAAGAACATGTATTTAGTCTAATATATGTTTATGCAGCACACTATTTCTTTTGTTGTAATATTTACTAAGCATTATAGTTACAATATTTTAAATAATCAAGTCTGGATACAATGTAATTCTAACGATGGGGTGGATGAATTTATAGTGTTAAAATATTTGCATTTGACTATCTATTATTAAGTTTATATTGACTTGGGATTACAATATTATCCATACTTGATAAATCAAAGTATACATGCGGCTGAAATTGATTGCGACAAGGATATACGAATTTCTACTACATGTACCGTATATACTGTAAAAACCTAATAATGTTTAATATATTATTACTATGTATAAATTAAATTGATTAATGTTAAATAAATTGGCGACAATAAAAATTAAAATTCGTGATTGCATATATAATATGTATTTTCCATTTATGTTAGATTATAAATAAAACATTGTAATGAGTAAATGTGTCACAGATACTCGACGCAGCAGAGTTTTAGTTGCTATTTTCGGCCGTAAAGCACCCTTACGGCACTTGTGCATCACCTGTGCAGGCATGCTTACAATGATTTCAAATGAAAAATTTCCGAATTACGAAAATCCCTTACATTAGTATAAAAATATAACATATCCAGTATTTAATATATGCTAGAGATAATTTTTATCGTTTAAATAAAATTTCTCGAAAGCTGGCAACAATATTTTAATATGTTATATAAAATCTATCTATTTATAACATACTAAAATTTTATCTTAATAAATCGCTAGTTTTCGAGAAAATTCACAAACTACAGTATAAAAAAATAAGGATCGTCGAAAAATAAATTAAATTAAAAATTTAAATTTCGAAATTTTAATATTTATTAATAAAAATACAGGTTTTTATTTACAGTCAAACCTGGATATAAAGAACCTGCTTATAACGAAGCTATGATAAAATGCTGGTTATAACGAATTTTTGAATTTCGAATTTACTAAAAATTCTTTATACAAAATTTTAAACAATTTTAAAAAATTTTTACTAATTAGCCCAAAGGTTTCATTATATCCAAGTTTGACTGTAATTACAAACTTTATTTCTTTATTTTCTTTTTTAATTATAAACTCTATTTATTTTATTCTTTTCAATTTCCAATTTTCGCCTTTTGATTTCCGGCTTTCGAAATTCTATATACCAGAAATAAAATCCGAAAATCTATTTAATTACTATAGTACAGAAATTTCACTCGAAATCATTGTAAGCGCACCTGCACAGGTGACGCACGAGTAGTGCATAAACAACACCCCTCTGCGGCAGATAATGGCAACTAAAACTCTGCTACTCGACATGATATCACGTTAAGATACGAATAATTAAAATAACAAGACGAGAAGAATTCTAGAGACTAAGAGAATACTGAAATAATTTAACCATATAAATAGAGGGTGCGTGTATAAATATATGGGTAATTATTTTTGAAGGCGACAAAAATGCTAGATATGATTTTTTCGGACCCAACTTTTAAACAATACAT